GAATGCTAAAAGACCAATGATAATAGTTGGTAGTTCTTGTCTTCAAGACGTTTCCAATGGAGCTGATATTTTATACAAAATATCAAAAATATCAAACGAACTGGTACAATCAGATAATAATGCTGAAGGTTGGAGAGTCTTGAATGTTCTTCATCGTGTGGCTAGTCAAGTTGGGGCTCTTGATGTCGGGTATAAAGGAGGAATTGGGGACTTGAGTAACGTCAAGTTATTATATTTACTGGGAGCTGTGAGTTTGTAGTGTAATGGTACATGTACGGTTTAATTTTAATCATATTTAATTATTATTTTATTATTATTTTTATTTATTTTAGGACGGAGGTTTAGTAAAGAGAGAGGATCTACCTGAAGATTGTTTTGTAATTTATCAAGGTCACCATGGCGACAGAGGCGTGAACATTGCAGATGTGATATTACCAGGAGCTGCTTATACTGAGAAAATGGCTACTTACGTGAACACTGAAGGAAGAGCTCAGCAGACGAGGGTAGCAGTCACGCCTCCTGGTATGGCCAGGGAGGACTGGAAGATTATCAGAGCTTTATCAGAAGTAAATAATGATAATAATAATAATAATAATAATAATAATAATAATATACATGTACAGTGAAGTGTTACAGCTGTATTTTACTCTTTCTCCCTCTCTCTCTCCAGGTAACTGGTAATACGTTAGGTTATGATGATTTGGAGCAGCTGCACGAGAGAATGGAAGAGATTGCTCCTCACCTGCTCAGATATGGAGACTTCGAGCCGGCAAACTTCTTCAAGCTAGCACACAAACTATTAAAAGTGAGTTAATTACATATATTTAAATTATAGTTATACAATTATATTTTTCTATTTATGCATCCAGTCTAGTGTTTCTGGGTCTACTGGGGCTCCAGTGAGAGTTGATATGAAGTCATTGGATCAGTTCTATATGACTGACCCGATCAGCAGAGCATCACAGACGATGGCAAAGTGTGTAGCAGCTGTCAAAGAAGACGATCAAAAATGAACACTACATTGTATTCTTTGCAGACATACACTTTTATTATTATACCTCTTTCTCTCTGTATTAAAGCATAGATTATAGATTATTACTAGACAGATTAGAGTGGGTCTCGCTCATGCTCGCCCCAATTAAAATAATAGTGTTCTAAAAACAGGACAATTATCGGTAGATACTATAGCTCCCTTTCCTCAAGTTTCCTGTAAAAAAATAGTCATGATTATGCATTGTTCTGTATGTACACATAATTATGATGCATGCAGAATTGCAATAATTATGTTTATGGTAATAATTATGAATTGCAATGATTAACTAGCTAGCTAGGTGGATCACGTGACCATAATAAGCGCCTGATTAGTCTCCGCCCGGATTTTCCCAGGGAAAGTCCCCTGACTCCCCTCGTGACTACATACACTCTCTGTTTACCCGAACTTTACCGGGCATTGGCGGGCAACCCGGCTGTTTATTATAATCCCCTAGCTCGACTGACACCATTCCTCGACAAGTTCCTTTGAACTTCGACAACCACTGTAATAAGAAGAAGATTAAGAAGTATATATAGCAAATTGAAATGGAGGAAAGACCAGGTGGTTTTGATCTTTCTTCCATTATCATATTCGACAAAAGTGGAACGAAGCAATTAAGTAAAGATGACATAAGAGCTCTACATTGTTCGGAGTGTTCGTTGCTGCTTCGAGAACCATATCAGTTAATAAACTGTGGACATCGTGTTTGTAAATCATGTCTATTTGAGACTATATTGAAAAAGAAGTGAGTTATATATGTTTTTATGAAAGGCTATAGATCCGTGGTTACTTTAACTTTGAGTTTAAACTTTAATGCACAGATTGCCTGCACCTGTTAAAATCAACTGTTAAAAAAAGTAATAGTGATGAGCGGTATCGGTTCCAAAGTATCTGGTTCCACGGTTCTGGTGCTTGATTTGCTGGTACCAAATCCTGAAATAATACCGACAGAAGTTTCGGTTCCGGAAGCCACACCCAATAAGCAT